TTCTGGTCCAGTACTTTGAGGGTTTGTTTGTACAGGGTTGCTAGTGGCTTCAGTGTGGAGCTGTTAGTTTGCCCCCAGCTTGTGAGACAGTATGTAAGATGTGAGATGATCATGTGTTTTGTGTTTTGAATGTTAAATTAGAATCAATAATGATTCCAAGGTGAGGCACAATGTTAATATGTTCACCTAAGATGCTTATATTTGACACAATGTTGCATTTTCTTTTTGTGAAAAACATTCCAACTGTTTTGTTGACATTAAGCTGAAGACAGGAGCGGTGTAGCCAGCTAGTGATCAGCACTAAAGCTGAGGTCAGTTTATCAGCAGCCTTTTGCTTTGTGTTGGCATGCACATATATAACAGTGTCATCGGCATATAGCTGTGTTTCCACATCAGGACAGACAGATGGCAGGTCATTAATATATAGGGAAAAAATAAGTGGACCAAGTATTGAACCTTGTGGTACTCCGGTGCTTAAGTCTAGAGCTGGAGAGAGTCGATTATTGACGATAACATGCTGACGCCTACCAGTGAGGTATGATTCAATCCAACTGAGTGTTAATGGAGAGCAGTTAAAAGTCGACAGTTTGGACAGAAGGACCTTATGGTTGACTGTATCAAAGGCTTTGCTTAGATCCAGAAATACTGCACCAACAACACCTCCTTTGTCAACCATTGCTTTGACCTTTTCTATAAAAAAGCAGTTGGCTGTTTCGGTTGAATAATTTGCCCTGAAGCCAAACTGCACGGGATGAAGTTGAAATGGATTGTTGTTTAAGAAGGAGACAAGCTGTTCTGACACCCACTTCTCAGCCACCTTGGATACTACAGGTAAGATGCTAATCAGGCGGTAGTTGTTGATGTTCAGAGGGTCACCTGACTTGAAAATGGGGGTTACAATTGTAGTCTTCCATGCACTTGCGAATGTCCCATGTAATACAGATGAATTGATGATTTGGGTAAGAGGGCAGACTAAGTAATCTTGCAGTGATTTAAGCATTGTAGAATCCATAGCGTGTGTGTCCTTAGCTGTTGAAGTAGTCCTAATACTTTAGGAGTAAAAGTACAGTACTAATTAAACTTAATCAGAATCAGAAACAGGTTTATTACCAGGTAGGTTTACACGTACGAGGAATTTGACTTGGTGTCGTGGTGCATAAAAACAAGAATTAAAAACACAGAAAGAGAACTAGAAAATATAAAAAAATATATAGTAAAATATAACAACATTGTAATGGAATGAAATAGAGGAATAACATATTGTAACGTTCACAGATGGAGTCGGAAACAGGCTTCCATTTATTAGGCTTTAATAACTCTTATTTTCTAGATCAGGGGTTCCCAAACTTTTCAGCCCGCGGGGGTGCTAGTGAATTAATTTCAGAAAAAAAGAAAAAAAAAGTTTGACACTGCGCTAGTGGATTGTCAAAGAAAAAAATGTGTATGCAAATGTTATTATTAATAATAAAAACAAATTTTAATTATAAAAAAAATTAATCCATTTTTTTTTTCGCCAGCGGACGTCATTGTGTGCGTCTGCTGCTGTGGTGAAACTATGGAACAACGGACTACATGGATGTTTAATAAGAACGAGGGACTCATCTAGAGACTGCCCCGTGCTGTGATGCTGTTGTTTTATGCTTTATGAACGTGGACAACAGAGAAACATATTCTTCATGACCAAAGTTGTAATTTAAAAAAAAGGAAAGTTAAATTTATGCTCGTCACCCTCTCCCTCCGGTCCACATTAATACAAATGATCCCAATACGTATGATTTTAAGAAAATATCTTAAAATAAATACAAATGTATTTATTATAAACGTTAGTCCTTAACATCTATCACTGTGTACATCACCATTCAAACATCTTTTAAAAGTTGAACAAACCCCACACAGCTCAGTGAAATGTTGACTTTATTTGATCCTTTCAGTAAAAACTAACGTTCATATTTCTCTTTTTGATTATAATACTGATGAACGTTCAAAACAAAGCACTTTGACAATTTACCACATACGTTTTAAAATGCTTAATCCGCACCGTAACTTTCATGATATAATTTCTCCGTCATAATCGTTTGTGTCCGTGAACGGCCGACTGTTGTGTGACCATAGAGAACCGCAGTGACGCGTCCAAAAACCCGGAAGTAAGTTAGCATTTTTAGCACTTCCGGTTCCTTCCTCAAAAAGCAATGCATTTTTTCCATAGGGTTTTGGAAAATAGCTCGAAATAAGGTCTGTGGTTGACACAAATTTAAGAGATAAATCACGTTTTGTTCTACGACATTAAATACATCAACAGTGAC